TGAGACACTTCAATCTCTATAAATAGGGACCCTCAGATTCGTTTTTTGACACACGAAATCAATTACGAATTCAATTGATTTATAAATTCTTCTCTCTCCATATTCTGCTCTAAAAAAAAATCTCTTATACTTCCGTAGTTATTCCGTTCAAGTACGATCATTCATTGGTTCGACCGACAAGGTTGGTATTGTGCAGTATCAACTTTGGAAGGAGCGTTGTATCTTGGGAGACAGACATCCATAATCCCGTTTGCACTTCATTAGGGGGGCTAAATCTGTCTTAAGGAGATTTGCTTATTTTATCGGCATACCTCGCTTCATTTACTGTTTTTTTTTCTACTTATAAAATTTGTTCTTTTGATTGCGTTAATCAAATTTCCGACAACAATTCAATCATCACATAAAGGGCATTTGGATTGTGGTAAAGGATTTCCTTCCATTGTGGTAGAGTTTCAGATCAAGAAGTACAGGAAAAAGCAAGGCTACTGGATTCAATCTATTTTATCTTGGAATTTCTTCAATGTTAAGTAAGTTCAACAACGTTTGATCAAATAGAGGCATTTTAGGTAAAATTTTACATTGGTGTCAGAGTCTTTAAGATTGTTTCCTTCAATTTTATCTTACTGAAAAGGATTATTGTGGTGAAAAATGCTGGTATGTCATGCTGTTGAAACATGAAGCATCCGTAATGGCATATCATGAGTTATACTACATTAATTCAAGAAATTTGTATAGTCAGTATTCTAAAAGGCGTGTCTTGGTGACGTCCGCCTAGGCGCAAAACGCCTAACCAAGTGACTTGGCGCCTTATTTAACGGTCAACAACAATCGTTGACCGACAATTTTTTTTTTACAATTCTTTTAAGTTAAAACTTAGAGGTTGATTTCTTCATTTCATCTGCCCTAAATTCAAAACAATCGCTTGAAGCTTTGAAGTAAAATGTCCAAAAATTCTTTTCTATTTAGTATTTATATTTGAAACTTATCCTTCCATTGGAAACTTTAAAAATGTATAAAGTTCCTATAAATCTATTTTAGATGTTCGATAGGTATTATTTTTAGTTATTAAATATTTTTTCAATTGATTAAAAATTAAAATAATATTAAAATAAGAAAACGTATTTTTACACCTATGTCTCGCCTAAACTCGCCTAACTTATAACTTGATCTCCATGCATCACACACATTACTCCTTTTTAGAACATTGTGTGTAGTTTGTTTTTCTTTTTTTTGGCATATTTCATATCCGCGAATTTTCAGAATTTTTAGTTTTATATTCTTGGAGAAAAATGAAATTGTAGTTGAATTAAATGAACCTTGAAAAAATTGCAGCTTTCTTTTTATTAATCTTCATGTTGTAAAATTGGCATGATTAGAAATGTCTTTCCATATGCTTTTCAACCATATAAAAAACTTTTATACGAACATAAAATAAAAAAGTCAAAAGGGATTTCAAAGTTTTGGGAAAAACTTTAAAATCTTCAAAATTGAAAAACAAGAGAAATTGTAATTTTTGTTTTTTTTTGTTTTTTGGGTCACTATTTGTCAATTGGAACATAAGCAAGAGAATGATCTGGGGATCTTTCATTATAATTAATTTGGTGCATGAAACGAAGATGCGTGAATACATTTAACCTTTCTTTAAACAAGTTATCAACCAAAAATTTATACCCAAACGATAGTCGGTTATGTTATTCATTTATACTAAATAAATAAAAAACACCCAAATTGATATTGTCATATAGAAAAGATGAAACATATGTGCTTTATAGAAAAATTCATATTAATTCCCAACATTATAAAATCCAATCCAATCCTATCCTATCCTATGCAACTAACACCTGTTAGAATTGGGCTGTGACCCAAACTCTTGTTGAATATTTGATTGGAAATATTGTTGGAATAATATTAGGAGTTGGTAGTAAACTTCAAGAAAGGTAAGGGGAATGATTTTCCTTTGGGAGAATTTCATAAGTGAGAGATTAAGTATGGTAAATTTCAAAATTGAGAAAACAAGTTTCAAAATTCAAAAATCAAATTTTTATCAAAATTTATTTATGATTTAATTATTTAATTAATTATTTAATATATTTATGTCACAGTTTTTGGTCACAATTATCTAATTAATTAGTCACAGATTAATTTTTAGTCATAGCTTTTCAAATTATTGGTCGTAATTTAATTCTTGGTCACAGATCGAAAATTTTATAGGTCACAAAATATTTTTCAATCACGAATCCAAAAATTTTATAAGTCGCAAATTATTCATCGATCACATATCAGATTAATTTTTAATCACAACTTAACAAATTATTGGTCGTAACTTATTTCTCGGTCACATAAAAAACTTTATAGGTCATGGAATATTTTTCGGTCACGAATCCAAAAATTTTACAGGTTGCAGATTATTCATCGGTCACATATTTAAAACTTTTGTTGATTATAATTCATTTACTCATTGCAAATTATTGAATTAATTGGTCACGATTAGTTTTTGGATCACAACTTAATCAATTGTGAGTCATAATTGGGAGTCACGGTCACAATTTTCAAGTCACATATCCAATTGCGAGTCACAATCAAGAGTCACAAGCACATTCACAATTTTCAGCACCACCACCATCGGAGCCAGCAAAACCCACCCCAAATCGTATCCACCCATTTCCTTAAATCGCCACAGCCAGCATCGCCAACGTTACCCATTTCCACAACCACCACAGCCGAGTCAAGCAATTTACTGGTCATAACACTATTGATCCACCCGACCGACGCCGACACTACCGCCACCAACACCCTGCCGCCATCGCCTGCACCGCATCCAAAAACCAAGAAAAAAAATCAACACCACGATCTACACCTCTATAACCATGATCTGCGCTATTAACCCACAATCTGCAACTGCACCATCGTGATTTGCAAACCTCCGGCGACGCTCACACACCACTACAACCACCCCGACCGCCAGATCATACACCATTGTAACACCTCAAACAACCACCGCAACACTTCAAAAAAAAACCACAGCCATCCCTCTGAATCACGACAGCCACCAGCGCCACCACACAACTCACAGTGGATCTGCTGTAGAAATAGGAGAGAAGAGGAGAGGAAGTGTTGTCGACGTCGTTGGAGTAGAGAGTGGTGAGGCGACATTGCTTCAATTGGCTTCACTCTGATACCGGCGATTAACTTTTTATTTCCCTTGTTGATAGCAGCATTTGAGAGGTGAGATGAGAGAGAGAGAGAGAGAGAGAGAGAGAGAAATTTGGGAATTAATTAGGATTTGCGTGTAATGGAGTATATATATTTAGCAAAAATATTTATTTTAAAAAATATTAATTAAAATAAAATCTCTGATTTTTTAAAGATTAAACTAATCGTCTTATTTTAGAATTGTGAATTTTTAAAGTATGGAATTGTGTAATTTCCACTTTTCCATTTTGACAGTTTTTTGACTCCTATTTTATCTTAAATTCTCCATTATTAATTTTACCCATTATATTGAAACTTCACCTTATATTCAACTCTCTATGTATTAATTCTCCTAGTATGTTAGGAATTCTTTGATTATAAATATGCGGTGTCCAATACATATTGAAATTGACCAATTGTCTAATTAGTTATTGGTCCAAAGAGATCCTTTGTAGCTCCTTACTATTGATTGTAGTGAATTCTCTGCTTCTTCCCGTAATTTTCTTGAATTTGGATTTCCACGTAAATCTTGTTTACTTTGTGATCTTTTATTTTCATATTGTCCATATTTTCTTGTTATTTAACTATTTGGCCGGATTATAACGAAACATAAACAACATTTGAAGCATTATTGCAACAAGTACGTATTATTTTAATTTCATGTAGTAATTACGAAGGATTGTAATTGAAATTAATTGCACATCAGAAGAACATGAAGGTTTCGAAAATTATAATGTTGTAAGAAGATTACACTATGGGAAAAGCCCCCTTCAACAACCCCCTAGACGTCCAGGGGGGTTGTTTAAACAGCAAGGTCCTTACACTATTGTGCAATGAACAAATATATATTTTTTAGAAAATAAACCGAAAAAAAGTAATGTAAATTCTTGTAATTAATTTAAAATTACATCAATTATAATGAACAATTAACCTTTGCCCAACCTGTTTTGAGTCCACTTCAATATCGTTTCTGTAAATTTTTATTATCTTGCCATCGGTGATTATGTAGATTGCTTTGGAACATGTTATTTCTGTGTTCATTCCGATGCTCTTATTGGCTATCAGCAGGGGTAGACCCAGACAGTTCAAACTGTAGGATCAAAAATGAATTTTTTTCGAACAATGTATCATTACCGAAAATAAGACCATATGCTACTACAATAGGATTTGGGTTAGGACTTTTTGGGTATTGGGATAGGGAAATTAATTGGGTTGACTCACTACTTTAACAGAAAATTACATTTTAAGCAAGAAAAAAAATAAATTGGTGAGATCCTCTTTCTTTTTCTCTGGTCACCATATCGTCTACTACGATGCAATAACTGGGACAACTTTTAGATAATTAAGAAAGGGAAGTTTACACAAATTGGAAAATAATAGGGAGTGAATTTGAAAACCATTGATTTTTTTGTTAAATATTGTAAATTACAACATAAATTGGCATTTGAAGAGAAATACGACATATTACAGTCAGCAACTTCTTGCAAATTACAGTGTGATAAATTTGATGTGAATATAATTCTTTTACAAATTACAGTGTAATATTTTTACAATGATAGTAATTTGCACTCTGTTTTTAATCTTATACCTTCAATTTTTCTAGTTAAAAACTTAAGAATCTTCTGTTCTCTTAGAGTTTAGCAATCTCCTAAATCTTCATTTTTCCTCCAATGTCAAGTATTTGCTTAAAATCATCATATTCTTCTTCATCAAGGTTTCGCAAAACCAGAATCAACAGTCAGAAAATAACACGATGGCAGATCTTAATGCTAAAAAGAAACTTTCAAATTATACCAACTCCGCCCAAAAAAAAAAATTTAAAACCATTCTATGCAATTTCAATACTCATCGCGCTGGCAGATCTTGAAATTTTGATTTGTAAATCTTAGACATATTTAACAATGTCTGCACTGTTTTTGAAGCAATGGACACAAACTTTTCGATGATCACTAAATTCTTGACTTACACTAAATTTTCCGAGACATGCTGATTTCCGACACCTTGAGGAAGAATGCAGCCACGTCTTTCGAACTGGCATCAGTACAAAAAAAATACCTAATTGGTGTCGCGCAAGGCTCAAGAATTGACATGTCCATTAAGCAATGGCATGGGAAATTGTCTCCGACTCTTTAGGGCGCCACATGGTTTTCTGGGCACAGAGCATTCCTTCCTTATTCTTGGAGTAGGTCATGCGAATGTCCCAGTGCATGGACTTGAGAAGGCTTTCGAGTTTATTAATGATCTCAACTGTGTCTCGGACGATAAGCTTTCCTTCGGGCCTCAAAATCCGATCAGCCTCCGCAACCAAGGCCATGAAATTACACCTGAGACCCGGAATTCAGAATAATTAGAAGAAAGCATATAAACTTAAGCATCAAATCTAGTTAATTGAGTCTTATGTACACACTTGTTCTTAATCTTCGAAAAGAGATGGTCTGCATGGAGGAGATCATAGGATCGAGGGTAAGTACTGAACGATTCACACCAGTCATGATAAATTCCAAATAGACCTCGTTCATAAATAATCGGTAGAGTATCAGGAGCATCGATGGAGACAACGTTCATAACCCACAACTTCATATCTTTAAGAGCAGCAGCAAATCTGCAGAGGGATCACCATCACTTAGTACAAGCCGAATGGCAACCAAACATGCTATTTAATAACAGAAATAATGGTATAAATATGAAGGTTCGTGTTTCAGTATAAGAAATGAAGAAACAAATACATCAACACCGTTAAACACAGCATATTCCCACTCAATAAACAGAAAAATAAAAGACGACCTTGACAAATTCACATATGTTTCCAGCAAAGGTAAGAAAGTTCACGCTAATAAAATTTTGATTCATTATTCATATTTCATCACGAAAGATTATCTCAGAAGAAATCAGCACTAGCCTTAAAGCAAAAAAAAATGATGCAGTAACCATTGGGATTTTGTAGCACCAGATCAGAATCTAAAATAAAAATAGGCGGTTGTTTTAAATGTCCGGAACAACAAATGCAGTCTGTACCAACAAGAGTAAATTTGAATGGGCAATGAAATGTAAAAGAAATTTCTTTTGCTGCATATACAAAGGAAGACCCAGATAGTCTTTTATTCTTACCCTCCATAGACAGCTCGCATGTCCATGACATTCCTCACATTAGACCAGTCTATTCCCAATCCATTTATATAAGACTTGCTCACGACACGCTTCCAGTGTTCATAATCTGCAGCAAAATCTTCTGGAGCAGGTTTCCCATAAACTCCTACCTGGGAACTAGACAACCAGTAAGGAGTTTGCCCCACCCTCGCAGGCCACTGTTTAGGCCATTGAGCCCCGCGTTCAGATGAATCAACAGGAAGTTTGTGCATACACGCTTGTAAAAGCACATTCCTGTGCACGAGGTATGAATAACATTAAAGCAACGATAAAACCAAAATCCTACTCTACATTACTCGCAATCATGCAGCCTCCTACATTTTCTATATCTCAGTAGCAGAGCCTCGCAATAAACTCCGAGAAGAAATTAAAAAGGAAGTTTTATCTCAAATAGAATAAAACATACCAGGCTGCATCTGGATCATCAGTGTCTTTACACAGTGGAGGATCATTTTGTGATCTTTGCTCATAGCACTCGTTTGAAGAAGGCTTGTGATATACAGCTATTCCAACTCCATTCACTCTGTCCTTGGTAATGGACACAACTTCCCAACACATTGCCTTTGTTAATTTCTTCATGGCTGCAAATAATTCCCAATAAGCACAACTCACTAGGATATTTAACTTTTGGTTAGCTTTAAACATTACCAGATTTTACGATGTACCTTCCCAAATCTCAACATCTTCAGCAAGTTTCTGGTAGATCGGAGTCGCAGACCAAACAAAGAAACCCCCAGGACGCAGCAAACGATTCAGCTCCAAGAGAAGTTTACCTCCTGCCCATTGTTACATGTTGCTGGTTATAATCACATTCACAGGAGGACAACAGTGAAAAGTTGACAATTGAAGTACACAATCATTGGAAATCTAGAGAAATTTTTCCATCACCATATAGAAGTACTTTTCTAAAAGGTTTCAAGTTTAAATATTAAATCACCGTTCAACAATCCTTCTACAACAAAGTAACTGGAAGCGATGTACCTTCAATGTGCCAAGGTACCCTACAACGTGCACAGTGGACTATATCGAAAACTCTTCCAGGGTATGGAAGTCTCTTTGTACCCATAACAGCAGATATACCAGGAATTCCTCTTTCAAGTGCAAATTGAACCTGAGCTTCATGTTCATCTTTTGGAGCCAATGACATGGTTAGCACGTCCCTGTCAAAGAGGAAGCCTCCAAAGCTAGCAACGCCACATCCAACATCCAGCACAACACGTGAGTGTTTTCCCCAGGCAATTTCAGGAACAGACTGCACAACATTCTTTTCGTGTGAGCAAAAACAATTAAAACATAATGATTCTATAAAGTGCTAGTAACTCATGTCTTTCCCGGCATATCCAGAACATTTGTCAAACTAGCTTTGAACTCTGAAAGATATTACAATAGAAATTCAAATCAGATTTGCAGCACTTCAACAATGTTTATAAGCTTTATGCTTTGTTTCAGAAGCAAGATTGTAAGCTAATAAGACGTCATTTTGATTATGTTGAAAATTAACACGTTGCAAAGTATGATAGAGTCATTCAGAAACAAACAGGCAGCAATTTTAGAAAATTAGCAAGCCAAGGAAGAAAAGAAGACAATGAAACGAATCTAGCAACCTTCGGATAAATAAACAAAATTGAAACTCAGAACTATGTGAAGTTCCAGCACAAATGTGCTGTGTTGCATTGCATGTCAGATTGTCCATTTCCCATGTGCATTTGCCATAGGGAGCATCTGCATGAATGAGGCAGATGTGCTGTTGTTGCAATGTTAAATGTGTTGGGGGTGACTGCAACATCTTACCTGCTGTATGAAATCAATATAATGAAGGGCACCATGCTTAAACTGAGTTCCACCACCAGGGAACGTAAGGTATTCACCGCTAACTTTAACCCAATTTTGGTGTCCTTTAACTTCTGCAAGCTTTGTATGAGGAACATTATGATACCATATCTGAGAGAACAAATTTAGGAAGTAAAATAAAAAATCCTGCGAATCAGAATAAAAGTGAAATTTGAAGGTACAACAAATTACAAATATATCTACAGAAGTACAATACCTTTTCCCTACTCCTAGGCCATTCAACAGGGCGTTGGTATCCTTCAGGAACTGGAACAAGGCAGGTGGGAGGACTCTCAGGACAGTGCCTCTCCCGATGTTCATAATGCTTAGTTGATGGAAGCTTTTTAATTGCTTTCAAATTGTCCAGGCAAGGAATGTAATCAGTCCCTGCAGTGGTATTGCAAAGTTTCCAACTGTAACCACTTTCTTTCTCTAACTGGGAGGATTCTTGGGCTTCTTTCTCATTCTTTGACTCTGCTGCCTGAGTTGAAAAGGCTCCATTTTGAGTGGTTGTTTCCTTCAAAAGATCTGATTGAGCCCCAGAAGGAAAGTCTTCATTGGACTGATCCTTTTTCTCACCAGTAACTTGATCAGTTTCCTTATCCTTCTCTTCTTCCACTTTCTCCTCTGTTTGACCATCTCCCTTATCCCCATCCTTCACGTCACTTGAACTTTCTCCTGATTTCTTCTCATTGTCATCAGAATTACTTTCATTTGTCTCTCCAGTTTCAGAGTCTTTATTCTCCTTCTGCAATTCCCCATCTTCCTTAGCTTCTCCTCCATTCTTTTCTTCTTCATCTTCCTTCCTTTCTTCTATGTATTCTTTCTTTTCATCCTTAGACTTCTCTACGGGATTTTCCTCCAAGGTTTTTTCTGTCTCTTCAGATTTATCGTTTTTCTCCTCCTGAATCAAACCAGCATTACTGTCCCCTTTGGTTGCATCCTCAGGCAAGTCACCCGGGTTATCCTCAAATTGCTTTGTCTTGCCATCATCACTGGAACTACTATCATCACTTGCATTGTTAACACTATCATTGCTCGTACCACGGTTGTTGTTATCTTCGTTGCTCTCACTCACATGTGTTCCCACCTCATTCTTGTTCTCCGTAGAAACATCCGAGCTCCAAACAGGAACCACGGACGATGATGTCATCATCCATACCCCAACTAAGCAAAGTACTACAAAAACCGCTATTGTGACCATTGAGCAATAGCCTGATGATGATTTCCTACCATCAACTCTAGAGTATTTTCCTAAAGCCATGCTCTAAATTGTAATCTTGAACCAGTCCTTCAGTAGTTTTATTGTTACACCTGTAAACATGTTACAAGACTAAATTTCTTCAATCAATTTCAAGACTATAGAGCTGAGCTCATCCAGAGCACCAAAGTAGCACATAGTAGAACATCAAATGGTATTACTGCCTAATTAAAGCTTCAAAGGTACATCTTTTCTACTCAGCAAGTGTGATCTCATGAAAGAAAGAAACATTTCTAAAAATTGACATTAATTACACCAAATTCTACACATAAATAGGTATTAACTAATCAGTAGCAGATCATCAATAGATCAGTGAAAAAAATAAATAGCCTAATAAAAATAATATTTTGTCTTGAAATGGGCTGCATCATAATATAAATATTACCATCTAAAAAGAGTCAGGCAAATAAAATCTTGACAATCGTACTGAAAGGAAAACAATCTTCAATAGCCCAGATCCAAATTAAATCCCCTTTACAATAAGCATATCATGAAGAAAGCAACCTCGTAAACATAAATCAAGAACAAGAACTGAATCGAATCATAATAATCGATAATCATAAGCAAACAAACAATTCAAACACTACGCGTCAAGAAATCAGATGTGGCAGCTGGTTTTTCAAGTACCTTTTCGTTATTCAAAATTCAGATCTGAGACAAGTATATCAGCTTCACTCATTTTCTCATTGTGTACCGACTGTATGGGACTGATGGGTAACTTTCAATCAAGAAAGAAGTGTATAAAATGAGAAGGAAGACGTATACACGAGAGGTACCAAGAGAAGACGTTGGCCGAACTTGCGTGGATTTTTTTATTTTTAGCCCCGTTTGGCCCCATATTTGGATTTATAAGGATGGGAATGGTGTTTTAGAGAGAGAGAGAGAGAAAGAGAGAGAGAGAGAGAGGGGACACGAAAAATTTTCGATTTACATGAAATATTATTTTATTGAAAATTGTGTAATTGAAAATAGGAGAGAGATAAATTTAAATTATGATTTTCATTTTTCTAAGAATGAGAATGAAAAATATAGTCGTTATGGGATCCACATAAGAGATAGAAAGTCAAATATGATGATTTGATGTGATGGATAACGAACATATTTTTCATTTTTGTAACCAAAGAATAAGAATCAAACATGGGCTAAATTGATAAGTTTTAAAGATGGTCAAACGGGGGCTTAATTTTTAGAGTAACGTTACATTAAATGAGACTTAATTTTAATGCTAAATATCATTATTCCTTCTTTCTTTTCTTTTTTCTTTTTTTTTTTTAATTTGTCATGGACTTACTATTGTTAATATTGGCTTTGTAGAAGATGCTTACCACGAGAATTCCATGAAATCCTTGTTTGGTGAAAATTAAATATAGTTAAAATTAACAATTAATTTCAGTCACATATTATATGAAATTCACAATTTTTCAACACAATTTTTCATTTTTTATCCCTACCGAATAAGGGCTAAAATTAGATATAGTATTATTATAATATTTGAAGATTTTAGTTTGTGTCTTGTTAGACAAAGTGGAGATTAACAGTTGAATTGCATTAACGAAGAATAAATTTTTGTTGAAATGCAAGAAATCTGGTAACTTTTTTTGGTATAGAAAGGTAAACCCTCGTTTAATACTCATTATTTTCAAAATACATTTTCACTCTTTTTTCTTTTAAATCACACATTATTCATTACAATAATATTATACGTAAGTCCAAAATTTTTCTTATATTTCAATCACACACTTTTCATTAATCTACCATTCCAAGATTCATTCTTAACCAAAAAAAAAAAAAAAATGGAGCTCAAACAAGTTAAAAGAAAGCAAAGTATACTAAATTCTATCAAAGCAAATGTATAATTCCCAAGAGAGAAGGTAAATAGCAGCTTTGAGTGTGTGAAGTTGCATTATTCTTCAAATGATACAGAGCTGGGGATATTTATAGCATTATACCTATGAAATAGTGTCAATTGGATGAATATACACGTGACATCATCTCTTGAGTCGAAGCATCCAATCTCAGACATTAATTTGGACTCACCAACCTGTGGCACATTTAATACTCTTATAAAGAGCAGCCACCCTACAGCCTAAACTGACAAGACTTCGACTTTCCACTCATTACAAAGGTCTTATCAATCATTCCAAAATGATCGTACATAAATTCAAGATCTCACGTGTGGGCCATCACTTGAGCTTCAATTTTGACCTTTGTTGAGCTTCATCACTTCGGCAAGAAGACTTCGGAGCTTCGTTATTAACATGAGACGCTTTGGTAATTCGAATTTACAAAGACAACAATCCGCGTGGCTTCAAAAGGTTAGCCGCATGGAGCTTATGTGGCAAGGTGTAATAATAGTCTCCTAAATCCAGGTATAGTGATTCATATCGTGCGTGGACTTAGTATTTAAGAAATGTATTTTGAGCTATTTTTCCTGGCATGGTTGAATTTTTTACACCCCAAGTCCAATTATAAATATTTATATCATGATTGGAATTCAAAGTTGAACCTGATTCTTGTATTCAGTCCAATCCTTGTGCAGCTGAACCATCAAGGCTACTTTGTTTTGGTAGAAGTTGAAGTTTATTTAAGCCGAAGCAGGGAAGTGCTGAACTGTCGATGCTCCTTTGTTTTGATATAAACTGAAATTTATTTGAATCGAAGCAGGGAAGTGTTGAACTACTGAGTCTCCTTTATTTTGGTAGAGGTGAACTTGACAACAGTGCCAATGATTTGATAAGTTTGGACGTTTTCGAGGAAAATCATTACGACTTCCAATACACACACAATGTGCAATGATAGCCACGATGTAGTGTTTTAAGGTTAATGCGTTGAGGCTCATAGGTGAAGAACATGCATCAATCCGAGACGTTGACAAAAGAAGCTATTCGAATTCAACACCTTAGATGTAACAAAGAATGGATGATTCAGATGGATTAGATTTTGATCCAAAGGCTATGATTCTTTTATCTTTTGTAAATAAGCTAAAACGCTACCATTATTTTGACTTTTACCTTTGCGAAAATCTTCAAAATCTCTAGTATTCTTAATCTTTTTCAGCAATCTCTATTTTTCCGACGATATCGCATCATTTGAGTCTTCCTTTGATTTAGGTAATTTTTGTGAGACTATTTTCCACACCATTTCCATTTCATCTTTTAATGGCACCTGGGTTAGGATCCCAGACTTTGTAGCTAATAATTCTCGAAGCCCACAAATGTGCATGTTATCCGAGGCCTGATTGTGTGGCCATTAGTGAATACCTGTTAAAAAGCGAATATTCATCTACCTTTGCACCCATTGTTAGGGTGGTGCTTAGGTCTTTTACGTTGGCTCCTACCCAGCATCGGTCGAACAGGTAGAGTTATCTAATAAGGTAGTCTTCCTTTGGAATGAGACATCACTTGCTGGGATATACCTCTACATGTCTTCTAAACACTTTTCCAACCTTGCATTCTTGCGAAGGGGGAATCAAAGGGGTGGTAGTACTATATGACTCCTTGAGGAGCCCATGCCCCCTTATGGTGGGTTTGCCATCCTCCATCAAATGATGGAAAGAGTTGTGGTTTTGGACAAAGGAGAGGTGGCAGATGGTGGGGAGGGACAAAGCTCCGACTTGCACTGTATCGACCTAGTATTCTAAAGCATGTGAATGTCTCCCTCTATTACCTATGTTAAAGTACTTTTGATTTTATCTGACGTTTTTATTTTGCAATTTCAGGAAATTACTTCAAGCTACGTCAAGCTAAGTAAGACATCATCGAGAACATTTATAGACGTCCCTTGAAGTCACCCCACTACGACCACTTAATCTACCGAATCACGTACTTCTTAGACTTCAGGCTAATGGCTTCAAAAGGTAAACACTGAAGCCCTTTGTAAGTATAGAGCTCCTTTTTTTTTTTTAGAATTTAACATTGTATTTACTATTTGCAATGACTTTGAAAGGAAAAAATACCCTACCCCTAATATAGCTTTAATTTTGAAGTTGATGGAAGCTTGGATGAAAGCCATCAAAGTAGAGGGGGTTCAGAGGGCCAATGAAAAAGCTATGAAGGAAGAAGAACAGGGCTCGGAGGCCGTGAAGAAGGCAGCAGCAGCTAGGATCCTTGGAAAATCGGGGAGGTTCCTAATGGGGTAAGACGAGGAGATTGCTTCGATAGCGATGGATATATGCTGCTATTTGAAGTCCGAGGTGTCACTGGTAATTTTTACAAGTTCTGGACTGATATAGTAATAATATGTATCCACCAGCAATGCGGTAGACCTTACAACAACATTGGTGCGCCAATTATGTTGACCTCATTTTCATTAAGATGATGTAGACAACAGATACCGAACCCACATATGTACACTTAAGAAAGTTCCAACACATATGGCCATGTTGCTAGTCGACAATACTTCGTATTTGGATAGGGAGGAGCTAGGAGTGGATAAAATGTCCAGACCAGACCAAACTAAACCAAGCGATTCGGTTCAGTTATATAAAAAATTAATGATTTTGGTTCTTTGAACTGAGAACTATCTGGTTTTTATTCTGGTTCAGTCCTAGTTCAAAAATCAAGACCAAACTTAATATTTAATTTTGTATATAATAATTAGTGGAGATCATAATTTTGTAATCATTGAAGATAGCTCATTAATTTAATACAGTTTATTAATCAATTTTGGGTCATTAGAGATAAACAACACATTAGTTGTCTACACCCTAATTTTGTATTCAGTTGAATTTTTTCTCCTTCACTCCTTTTCAATTTACATGTCGCAGCTTATTAGTACCGCATTCCATCAAGCCAGTGGAGTGTCACGATCTAAAAATGAAATTAGTTAGTTACTTAAAAAGTTTCTAAGCTCTTTTTTTTACCTTGATTGTTTGATGAGTTATTTGTGCTCTTCACAAATAGAGGAAAACCTAGCAAACATTCAGGAAATATTAAACAGTTAATGTTGTCTGTAGAAGTGGACCATAAAAATTTTGATAATTCATTCTTTATTGTAGGGGTGTACCTTCAAAACCACTATAATTAATTTAGTGAATCATTGCTATTACTTATTAAACATTTTTTTTGTATGAAAATGAAAACTGATTTGTGTATTTAAATTATGAATATATTTTGTTTGTTAGTTATGACTTTTTTGTTCTCGAGATTCAAATTTGAACTTCCTAAATATTTGGTGTTTATTTTCTTATTTAGGTATACATTACTAATTTATATGATGCAAATCTAAAAATTTAAGAAATGAAATTAGAAACAAACCAAACAAAACTAGAACTGAACGGTTTGGTTTTATATCTTTAAAAAAATCATTTGGTTCCATTATCAAAAAAATCATTAGTTCATGGTTCGGTTCAATTCTCTTGGAATTAGAACCATATGGAACTATGTCCACCCGAGGAGCTTTATCACATGAGACAAAAATACTTGGGCTCCGACAACATATTTTGGGAATGATTGTGTAATAATTACCAATCGTCAACAACTTAAAGAAAGCCAACTAAACTAAACTCTACTAAAGCAAATGTATAATCCGCAAGAGAGAAGTATCTCTTGACCCGAAGTATCCAATCTTAGACAATACTTCGAATTCATAAGCTTATGATACATTCAATGCTCTTACAGAAAGCAGCCACCCTACAGTCTAAATGACAAGAATTTGACATTTCACTTATTACAAAAGTTCCATCACTCATCAAAAGGATCATACATAAATTCAAGATCCTCACAATTGAGTCGTCACTTGAGCTTCAGTTTTGACCTTTGTTGAGCTTCATCACTTCGACGAGGAGACTTTGGAACTTCGTCATTAACATTAGACTGCTTTGATAATTACTGCTTAGG